TCTCTCTCTCTCTCTCTCTCTCTCTCTCACACACACACACACACACACACACAATTTACAGGCAGTGGTTCAGCAAGTCCAACAGTGACTGTCTATGAATCTAGTAGTTGTTTAGTCCATGAGGCTGGATGTCTCAGCTGGTCTTCAGTATACACCAGAATCCCAAAGAAGTAACCTCTAATGCCAGTGAAGAAATGCACTTGCCAGTGAGAGCAAGCAGACCAAGGAGGGGGCATGCTACCTTCTTCTGTGTCTTTTACATAGTCTGCCTTCAGAAAGTGTGGTCCAGATTAAAGGTGGATCTTCCCACTTTAAAAATCTGGATTAGAAGAGAATCTTCCCACTTTAAGTAATTTAATTCATAAAAAGTCCCTTACAGTTGTGCCCAATCATTTGAGTTTTAGTTAAATTCAAATTTGGTCAAGTTGCCATCCAACAACAGCATCACACTGCTTGACTCCAGTGATTTGCTTTAGTTAAAAAAATAAATTATTGAGCACCTTTAATCCCAGCACTCAGGAGGCAGAGCCAGGTGGATCTTTGAGTTCGAGACCAGCCTGGTCTACAAAGTGAGTTCCAGGACAGCAAGGGCTACGTTGAGAAATCCTGCCTGAAAAACAAAACAAACAAACAAACAAACAAAACCAAACATATTGATGGGGGATGGTGGTGATGTAGTTCAGTTGGTAGAATGCTCACTTACCATACAAGAAGCCCTGGGCGTACACTGGGTGTGGAGAAACACACCTGTAGTCCCAGCACTGGGAGGTGGAGGCCAGAGGATCAGAAGCTCAGGTTCACCCTTGATATATGGAGTTTGAACCCCGTCTGGGATACGTGAGACCCTGTCTCAACACCATGTGTCTAATCCCTTCCCTAAAAATAAAGGAAGGAGGGAAGGAAGGAAGCAGATAGCAGATAAATGGAAGTGTAATCTTCTCCCACGATTTTTTAAAAAATGAAACCAAATTAAACTTCAAAAACTATTTATTTTTGAGTAGATAGTGCATGTACATGGTACAAAATTCCAGAATACAAAAGACAAGCGGTGAAAAGTCATTCCCACCATTTTCCAAGAGACAACCAAGGTTGCCAGCATTCTGTGTCACTTTTCAGGGACACCCTGGGCACAGGCAAGCAGACGTATCACAAGCATTTATGTGAGTATATGCAAACATACATATGCATACACGCCTACAACACATGTATTTATCTCTATTCCAAACACTGGCATTTCATGAATGTTCATTTATGTTTTCTTCTCCCACTTAACCATGTGGCTTCAAGGTCTGTGAACACTTCCTATCAATATATATCACAGACCTTTTCTTTTAAATGTCTGCAAAATGCCCCATTGTAGAGATGGGCCATGATTTTTCACCCCTGTTCTGAATTAATGATAGTTTCCAACTTCGTGTTATTACAAACATTGCTTTAATAAAAGTTTCCATACATAAGAAAAGTTCCTAGACGTGGCACTGCTGGTTCAAAAGGCGGTACACTTGGACTTGTGATAAACATACTGTTCAGTTGTCCTCCAAGGAGGCCACAGGTTTGCAGCTCTGCCGTCCCTGTATGGGATGCTGCTGCCCACAGTTGGACAGTACCACCCATTTTCGTGAATTCACGTGGCTAAGATGTATCTACCACATCTGAAAGAAGAAGAAACTCATCACCCTGTCTGACACTGCTGTGCCCTCCCTGCCACAATACTGGGCATCTTCAGAAGGTGATCTTGGTTAAAGGTTGGAAACTTCTGGAAAACTTTTTCCATTCCGACCTTCAAGGTTGGTGACTAATGAAAGCTTCTCTAATGCTGCTACTAGAGCCGCCAGCCTGCTTCAACCCAAGCATGGATTAGGTTCAATCTATAGCTTGCTGCTACAGAATGTTAAGATACAATTTGGGGAGCCAACTTCACCAAGTGGATGTGCTGACTTGTCTGGGGAACCACAATGAAGCGGGCAAGGTCCCTGCTTCTGCTGCCCTTACACATTGCAGAGAGGGACGATGCAGACCTTACAAAGCACTGGGGGCCGTAAGCAGTGCCATGTGTCATTAGGACAGACAACAGGGGTGTGGTGGGTGGACTGTGATATGATCAGGAGGCCAATGTAAAAGGGAACACACAGGTGATCAAAAGCCACTACTCCAAATCAGGGAGAGGAGAGAGTCCTCTTCAGGGAGCACGTGAGGAAAATACCCACGGAGGGTGAGCTTGGTCCATCTAGGAAACTGACACAGGCTGATGGGGTTACAGAATGTCAGACACACTGCAGATGAGATCCCAAAGCCCACTCACGATCTTACACATCATATTTATTCTGAGAAGATGGAACACATTCATTACTTTTTTGTATGTGTATGCTCCTATATGTGCATGGGATATGTGCGTGCACGTGTATGTATGTGCCTGTGCACATGAAGGCCAAAGGACAACTCAGATGGCTTCGTGATTGCGTGCCACCTTATTCTATGAGACAGGTTTTCTCACTGAACTCGAAGCTTACCAATTCATTTAGTCTGGCTGGTCAGTGAGGCCCAGAGATGCTTCAGTCCCTGCCTCTCTAGTGCCAGGAATACACAAACATATGGCCAGGCCTGGCTCTTTACATGGATACTGGGGATCCTAACCAAGGTCCTCATGCTTGCAAGACAAGCACTTTACTGACTTTTATGTACAACTTTGGCCTGCTGCCACCTGCTGCTAGGGGGAGCATGGCAGACTCTAAGATGCATCTCATAAGGCTCTTCCTCTGGCCACGCTCAGCTTTAAGAATGGGCAATAGCACCCATGACACTCACCATGGCACTGCTCTCTATTAAGGTGTTCTGTTTCTTGGTGACCAACACTGGCAACGAATACACTATACAACACTTCCTTACAGTATTTCTCAGGGCACATTTCAATTTAACCATCTGAACCTAGACAAGCAAAGTCACGGCTAGAAGTTACTTCTAGAAAACTGACATCCACCACCTGGAGAACAGGCAGGCTAGAACCATGGGGAGCAGAGGGAATGTGGGATGTACAGGCTGCAGGGCAGGCTGGGGTCCTACTACCCTTCAGGTAGTGCCTACTTTACTCAGGATAGGTAAGATGAGAGTCTGCCAAAGTGACAATCCATGGGAATGACACTCTGTGAGGTAGGAAGAGGGCTGCTGGAGGGCCTGCCCTTGCTTTGTTCAAGGGTTTGGGAGATCTCCAGGAACACTCTGGAGAGGAAAAGCCCTGCCTGGTGACCTATGCTGGTTTGGTTCCACTACCAGTCTGCATCTTCACTGTTCTTGAACCAAGGGCTACAGACCAGAACTCCATTTGCAAGAGCAGGCTAAACAGGAGCTTATGCCCAGCATGGACTCTGCTTCAGTAGGAAAAACACCACCCCTCTGGATGCAGGTTGGCAGTTGTTCGGTGGTACTATGTGCAGCCCTGTGGTGCTGGCTGACTAAACACAAACATGGGAGAACATGTCCTCACATCCTCCCAGCCTTTCACTATTAACTTATTCTAGCCCAGCTCACAGCTGCTCTGAGCCTGATCGTTATCAGAGCACCCCTGGGTACTCCATGAGAAGCAAGGAGGAGTGAAGGCGGCTCCCGACCTGCAGATTGGTCCTAAGAATGCATGGCACTGGGCACCGGCCCAGTGAACAGTCTCACTGCTCTGAGTCTGGTTTCTGCACACTGGAAAAAAAAAGTCACTTACAGACGTTTCTCCACTGTCTTATAATTCTGGGAAAAAGCCAGAAAGCTCAGAACTCAATGCTATAACATGTCTGGGCACAGAAGACACTGCCCTGGTAGGCCCCTCCCTTTCACCAGTCTCCAGGTAGATTCTGAAATGACCAGGGCCCTCGGGGAATCTCCTCAGCCTACTTCATGCTGGAATTACCCACAAAGGTGCTGTCATGTTTCAGGATGTTGGAAGCAAATGCAGGATTCTCAGTGCTGACTTCTGCAGCCAATTCAAAGAGTGTTCAACCAGCCTAGTCAACCCAGAAGGCTTCAAAATACAGGTCAGCCATCGCTCATGGTCTCCCACTAGAACACCAGATGGTAAGACACTACTACTTTAGATGCCACACACTTTGAATGTAGGACAGAGAAATCACGGTAGATCCAAGCCAGGGGCTTTCTTTCTCCCTGCTGGCGAGCTTTCATAGTGGCAGATGCTGCTGCACAGAGAGCTGCGGGGAGGGTGTCGTCAACAGTCTTACCCAGCTATGAACTTGCATGCTATAATACCAACCAGCTCGGCAAGATGTGAGCATTGGTGCAATAGAGGAATGGCTGTTACGGGGGGAGCCAACTGCATTTTGTTTAGATCTGTGGCCTGCTCCTCCGGAAGGAGTTCACACCTGGCACTGTAGAGCTAGCAACACGTATCTCTCGCCGTCTGTATTAAGTCTTGTGAGTTAAAAAATGGGATACGGTGTCTACCAATTTCTTCCTACCAGGAGTGATCAAGCTTTTGATGTTATAGCACGATACTGTCATCTACAAAGTCTACACAGAGTACACAGCGTAAAGAAACAGAGAGGGAAAAGAACCTCCATGTTTTAAATCACTTTAAAATGTGGTATTGGATCACATTCACAGCTATCCCTGGCTGCGGGCAGCCTGTGGCAGAACATGCCTACAGCCATACCAAAGTAACTCCCGGAAACAATACCAAATAAAGGTTTCCATCTCCAAAACCAATTATGGTTGCTTTAGATCAGGTATTCCAGACCTCTCCCAGACACAGACAGTGGGCTCCAGAGACCTTGAACCTCACCGGTTCCCACTTCCCTCCCAACACCTGTGGTCAAACACTGACATCAGCCAGAGTTCTGGGTGGACGAGCCTCCTCTCAAGGTAAGGTGATGGTCCTCTCTGAACTGGGAGTTCTAACACAGTCCCGATGCCGCCTCCTCCCTCAGCGCATCACTCCACAGCTGAGCCTTTCTCAGTGTTCCTGTGACCACCAGGTCACAGCGGAACCTGCGCACATGGCTCTCTAGGAAGTGGGCTGGCACAGGGGAGTGATGCTTTGGGTGCTGCCGCTCCTACCCAGCTCATCACAGCTCAGTGACCCCTGGGTCAGGAACACGTGATGCTCTTAGGCCTGCATGGGAGACAGTCTTCTGTAGCCCAGGCTGGTTTCCTTTTTGCTGTTCAATCTTGAATAACCTTGACACCCTGCTCCTCCTGACTCCACTTCCTGAGAGCTAGGATCCCAAGTGTACCTACCATGCCTGGTTTATGTAATGTTAGGGATGGAACCTCGGCAAGAGCTCCACCAACTGCCCCCAGCACCTCTTTCCTGAGTCCGTATGACTCCCGCCTCTCTTAACCACATACATTAGGAAACGAGAAATGAGCAGTGCTTCTGTGACTGCGCAGTGCTCCACCTGCCTCCCATATTTATGCCTCTGTCAAACGGTCCCAACCTGCTGTTTAGAACATGTGTCCGCCAAATCTACGCAGACTGGAGCTCAAACCTCACACTGGGGTTTACTGAGCAGGACCCAGTTGCTAGGTTCTTGATTGCTGGGGGAGTATTCTGCAATCTCTTCGCTCTGCTCATTTCCAGAGTCTAAAACCAACCCTTCAGGGGCTATTAAAGGCCCTTCCTCCTATTTCAGCTAACATCCTGTTCCTTTTAGATCTAGCCCAAGTGTTGTTTCCTGCATGGAGTCCTTGTGCCCCTATGTACAAATCTGCCGTTCCTCCCTGCTCAGCCCCTGCTATGTTTCCCTATGCCTGCGCTGATAAAACTGAACAGCACACACATCTTAGTCTCTACTTAGATCCCGACAGTGCAGGAACATGGGGTATGCTTCAAACAAGGACCCATCCTGATGTGGGAGGCTTCAATGCTAATTGAAGAGTCCTCAGCGGAAGGTGCATTTGCAGCGTTTCCATCAAGTGAGCCTGGTGATGTGCAGGGTTGAAGGACGACGCTGATACCCTGACAGCTCTCCTTGACCACATATAGCCTGAGGGCTGGACAGACCCACAGCCATGCCAAAGGAAACACCAGAGAAGCATGGCTCCAGAGGAAGGGTTCCCATCTCTAAAACCCATCACGGTCACTTTATATTAGTCTTCCCAACACAGACAAGTGAACGCTAGTAAACCTGAACCTCTCCTGATTTAGTCTCTACACCCATGGGCTAATTGCTCAGCATGCCAGCCCAGCCTATAGTCTGTATGCACTGTGAGAGGCCAGAACAAAAGGCACAACGGTTGGGGTATGGCCAAAGCCAGCAACACCAATGGGCTGGTTGCTCACTCAGCAGCCTTCGGAAGCATTACAAGGGGCAAGCTTTAGGGTTAGGAGGGTTGTATCTGCTCTCTGTCCCTGCTAGATGCCAGAGGAGAAAGGGACAATGCTCTGTATTCTGCTACATTTACCCCAGGGCTCATTTTTCAGCAGTTGCTCAATTAATACTTGCTGAACATAATGCTCTTTATTCTCAGGGCCCGTACAAACCCGGGTACCTTCATAAATGCAGTGTTACTGGAGAAAAAAAGTTGAGTGGACAGTGAATGAGCACTGCCCACGATTCTTCATAGGGTCCTAGGATGCCACCCAAGCCACGGTGTCACTGTCTGAGGCTACCAGCTGCAGCCAGGAGAGATGAAACGAAACAGTGGAAAGAAAACATCCATCCAGAGAGTTGAAATGAATCTTCCCGCATCTCTCCACGGCCATTTTCATAACCGTTTTGGGATCCTGTAGTCTGTACATGCCATCAGAAAAGTCCCAACAACATACAGAAGTGGAGGTGGACGTTCAGGAGGCCTTGGCTTTGATCTTGGACAGCAGCAGCTCGTTCTTCCGGCCCTCCTGGGAAAGCGGAGGAGGAAGACAGCAATCAGTGTTAGTCATTGGCACTCACATGGGGTCTCCAAACTTTACACCCCAACTTTACACCCAGTCTTAGTAACTTTTTGACACAGAGTCTCACATTGCCTAAGTTGGTCTTGAACTGGGTACAAAGCCAAAAATGTCCTTGAATCTCTGATCCTCCTGCCTCTACTTCCTGAGTACTAGAATTACAGATGCTGGGATCCAACCCAGTGTTCTGGACTGCCAGGCAGGCTCCACCACTAACCTACATCTCCTGCCCCTCAGCAGCCATTCTCTGACAAGTCAGGCTGTCTCCTGGCATGATACTGCTTGGTGACCTCCTGACCTGTGTCAGGACAGGTGTGGTGAAACCTCTGGGCTGAAGACAGAAGACCAGGCCCTGTCAGTTCTACAGACAGAACTTTCTAAACTCCCAGGGGACAGAAGCAGAAAGCTTATTTGCCGGTCTTCTTGAGAGGAAAGGAGGGGAGAAGGGGCCTTAGAGACTGTACCCTAAGAGGTGAGTAAGGTAGCTTTAGTGTACACAGCAGGTGAAAGAGAGAGAGGTTTATCTAGCGAAGATGCCAAGTATTCTTGGCCTTAAGAAGTAAGTGCACAGAAGACACAATGAGAGGTGTTTATGAAGGGAACTAAACACTTTGAGTGCCATCACTGAGGGACGCCACTGGCCCCACTGCCTGCCAATGGCGTCCAGTGTCCAGAGTTACCAGTTACCCTTCTGGATTCCCTTTCTCTGGCAAATTCTAGAGTTGTCCACCTGACAGTTCAACCCCAGGTCCTTACCAAAGTGTCTTCATGTCTCTAACCAAAGGGAAGCTGAGAGGCTGGATGGCTCAGTGGGCAAGTGTGCCTGATGAACAAGTAGGAGGACTGGAGTCTGGAAAGATGGGCAGGACCGTGCACACGTCTGTAACCCTGGTGCTGTGGGCATGCGGACAGACGACTGCTGGGTCTTCCTGGCTGCCAGTCTAGCTCTAGACCCAGTGGAAGATCTTGCCTCAAGGGAATATAGTGGATGAATGAGAGAGCAGATGTCCAACAGCCTCTAGTCTCTGCACAAGCATGCATGGACATGCACTTGCACACACATGTGCATCACGTATGTGCTCCACACCAGTCCCTGGGTGCTTTCCATGCCTCAGGACCCTAGGCTGCTTGCTGATGTGCTCCCGCTTTCCCTACAGCCGAGCCCTGCTCAGCCTGCAGAGTCTGCTCTGGCTGCAGATCTGCGCTGTCTCTCTATGGTGAAGCTGACACTATTACTTTATTATGTCTTATTCACTAGGGCTTCTGCTCATTTGCTTCGTAGCTTCTCATCTGTCTCCTTCAGCACAGCAGAGCTCCGTAGGGACAGACACCACGTCTGTTTTACAACCTGGCTTATGCCAGAGGCACAGTCAGAGCTGGGAGAACATTTGGAAGGATGAGATTTGTTGCTCTGCCCGTAGACAGGCGTACAGTTGCCAAAGCTAACTCATAAAACAGAGCGTAGGCCAGGTGAAGAAGAATAAGGTGGAAGAAGAGACAGAATAATCTTTAAAAATAAACAAAAACACCATCAACATGGAATGTTTTCACTTTGTTCATGTGTATATGTGTGTGTGTGTGCTTGCACACGTGTGTACATGTGCTTATGGAGGTCAGAGGTCAGGCTTAGCTGCTGCTCTTCAGGCATTGTCTACCTTCTTTTTAAAATGATATTTTCTATTTATTTACTTTGTGTGTACATATGTGCCTGCCACGAAGATCACAGGGCAACTTGTGGGTTTGGTTCCCTCCTTCCACCATGTGGGCACTGCCTTTTGAAGCCAAGTCGCCAAGCTTGGTAGAAAACGTCTTTACTTACTAAGCCATCTTGCTGGCCCTAGCTTACTTTTCTGAGACAGAGTATTTCCCTGGCCTGAAACTCATGGGGTAGGCTAGGCTGACTGGCCGACAAGCCCCAGAGTTCTCCTGCCTCCTCTTCCCCAGCACTGGGATTATAAGTGGGTTCCATACCTGTTATTTTTCCCCTATCCTGTGAGTTCTGGGTACCAAACTCAAGTTCTCCTGCTTTCATTGCAAGTGCCTCACTGACAGAACTCAGTTCTTGCCAGCCCCCAGCTCTGGTTTTTAAGGGTGCATCTTGAGGTGAGGTGAACGAGCACTTGATTTTGGCTATGATTTGGCTATGACCTGTCTGTCCGGCCCGCATCCGCTCACCTCTTTGAACTCTTTCACGGTCTTGAAGTAGAGCCGCTGCTTTTCCAGCAGCTCCAGGTACTGATCGTTCAACTGGTCCCTTCTCATTTTGTTCTCCTGCTTCTTCTTTTCCATCTGTTGCAAACATTTTGGAGAATGAATGAATAGTCATTCTGACAGCGACTACCACAGGCATCTGACTAACATTCGCATCTGTCTCTTCCAAGCCTCCCTTCCAGACATAATTTCTCTGGCTGGCCTGTTTTCTTGAATGATAGATACCATCTGTAGGCTCTATAATCTATTCGGCAGTAAACTGCCGTGGAACGTTAGAGGAACAGCATAGAGAGATTCTCAGCTGGGGACTACTTTGTCTTTAGAGAGTATTTGTGAGTGTCTGCAAGACGTTTTGGGCGTCACAACTGCAAGGAAGGACTTGTCAGCACCACCAGCAAGGAGAAGCTGCTCACTACCCTACAGGTCCGGGACTGTGATAAGGAAAAGGATTATCTGGCTCGGAATGTCGGCAGTGCTGTAGGTGAGTAACTCTGATGTATATTATTGTGTATTTATAATAAATAGCCCATCACCCTTTCATTTATTGCAACTGCACCATAGGATAAGCTATCTACTATTACTTTGACTACGTTATATGATTTTTCCTCTCTGATCTTATACACAGACACTAGATGCTGACTTCAAGGGATTTTCTAATGTAGCCAAAAGCTCAGCGAGGTTGTGAGTAGAGATTGGAGGACAGCTTGTCTCTCCTTCCATCATGTGCCTATACCCAGTGAGCCACCTAGTTGGCCCCACCTTGTTTTAGACACAGGGACTATCATTGGCCTGAAACTTGCCAAGTACCCCATCAAGCCCCAGGGATGCTCCTGTCTTCAGGTCCCCAGCTCCAGAAATACAAGTATACACTAACACCACTGCATCTGACATTTTCTCAGGGTTCTAGGGACTAAACTCAGGTCCTTTATTAGTAAGGGAACGCCTACAGAGATCCTAAAGTTATCAGTGAACAAGCAAAGTCTTTGTTCTCACTAGGCACATCCTGGCAACTGGTACTGTGCCAGACTAAACCAACCAACCAGCTAACCAACCAAGCAACTGCACACTACAGTTCTCAGAGTATCGGTGCTGAGGAAAACGGAATGGAGTGAGATGGTGAGGGTGTGTGGACTCTGTGATGCAGAAGGCTGGGGGTAGGGGTGGGGGTGGTTGCTCTGAGGTGGGGCAACTCAGCAGAACCAGGAGTGGTGTGTGCAGTGTTTCCTGAAGCTAACTGCAGAACACCAGCCACCCAGGAGGTGAAGGCAGGAGGACTTTGTGTACAGAGCAGATGCTGCCTGCAAGTAGCCATGATGGTGCCTGTGCACGCACCTGTGTGTAGTTATGTGCATGATTATGTATGCGTAGGCCAGGGGATAAACTTGGCTGCTAGCCCTCACCTTGTATCCTGAGACAGGTCTCTACCTGCCCTTAGACTGGTTAAGTAGGCTAGGAGGGCTGGTCAGTGAGTCCCAGGGATCCCCCATTGCTATCCCCAGCATCAGAATCATAAGCACATGCCACCACGCCCACTTCCTTTATGTGGAAGAAGTTTGGTTTAGGAGTGAAATGTCATGAGATCAATGAGCAGGGAGGAGGTGGCTGGATGCGAGAGGCAGACTGCTAGCAGAGGGCAATTCTTTATCTGTAAAGCAGGGGAGGGGTAGGATCATTCATTTGATACAGTCTATGCGGGGTAGCACAGTCCCTGGCATCCAGAGTGTTTAGTGCCTGGAAGCTGTGATTCACAGCAGTGTGGAGGCCTGCCCCACCACAGAGTCTCATGTCTGGTGCAGGCCTTGTGGAAGGATGCAGTCAGGATGGAAAGCCTACGCCTAGGACCTCCTCACCACCACAGAGGCTATGGGTTGTAGAATAAGCTAGCTGACCTTCATTCTGTTTTGTTTAATGCCTTCGACGATTTGTTCCATCTGCCTTAAAAACTGGTCCCGGGAAGCAGGGGAGGCCATGGCTCTGAAAGAGAAATCAGCAGAGGTAGGTCCAGTACATGGGACTGTTAGAAAGGGGGTGGGGACACCTGGACTGTGCCCCAACAGTCAACTAGGTCTTTGCAGGGCACAGTGGATCCAGAGGGCCACCAAGAATAGCAGGCAGACAGGCAGTACTCCAAACCTCTGACCGAGTAACCAAATGTGAATCTTGTTTCCCCTTCTCCCTAAGTTCCTGGGGCGATGGACTGCAGAAGGAACAACTCTCTAACTAGATGGGGATGGATTCTGAGGAAAACCATGCAGTTGAGGAGACCATGCTGTCCTTTAACTACACAGACAAGTAGTGTACCCCCTTCAGCAGCAGAATGCACACAGGCAACTTTGGGGGTGGGGGGCTCCCCTTCCATGCACTTTTCAGCTTCTTCCTTTAAACTTTTATCCAATCCGTATTTTTCAACATAAAATAAATAAAAATAATAAAAATGCCATTTGCTATGAATGACAAGTACATATTAAGGAGTTAATTCAGTTTTGTCTTTAAGAATCTGAGGACAGGGAGACATTAACTAGAACTAGGGGCCATGTTCTGAGTATTCCTAGATCTCAGCTGGGAAGCCTAAGCCATGTTGGAGGCAGCAGGTGGGGTAGAGTTCCCGCTGTGCCTGCTACACCTTCCTACCATAGCCAGCTCTGCAGAGGGACAGAGACCAGGAGGCTCAGAGCATGGGGCTCACAGGAGTGGGGATTCTCCCAGAGAGTGGCTGGCAGAGCAGAACTGTCGTGGATATCAGGGAGATGGCACTACCGTCTGAGAAAGGAGGGCATCAGGACCCAAAGGCAGGTGCCACACCTGCACCTCCCAGGACTATGGCTGCTGGCTTTTTCCCCTTCTTTCCCTTGCATGCTGTGATCCCAAGGATCCGATTAAGGTTCAGGTATCACGGAGAATGCCTTAGCCCGGCTGTGTTTAAATCAGAAAAGACGTAGAAACCCTTGGTTCTGAGCGAACTTGGTCTTAGAATGTTTGTGGTGTCCTGCCAGGGGCCTGCAGAGGCTTGCACTAGGAAAAGGAAGCATGTTATTCTGGAAGCTTTAGGCTACCAGGAAGGTGGGCAGCTAGCTCACCCTGGGTACACTCCAGAACTGGTGTTACCTGGTAGCCTTGCTATAGGATTTACAGAGATGTCCTTGCTACACATTTAATCCTATTTTTTGAGACAGAATCTCATGTGGCCCTGAACACACTTCATAGTCAAAAATGACCTCAAACTCTTAATTCTTCTATCTTCCCTTTCAAGCGCTGGGGTTACAGGCATGCTGCGTACTAAGTAGTCCCAGCTTATGCGGTACTGGGAACTGAGCACAGGCTTCGTGCTCTGTGTAAGAATTCCTCCGCTGAGCTAAATCCCCAGTTCAGAGGATGTATGCTAACTCACAGAATACACCTTCAGGGTCTGCCCACCTTGTTTTTTGAGGCAGGCTATCTCAACGGCCTGCAATTCACCAAATAGGTTAGGATGGCTGGACACTGGTTCCCAGGAATCTCCAGTCTCCACCCCATCAGCTCCAGGGTTACAATCACAACACTACACTCGACTTTCCATCTGAGGGTTCTGGGATGGAACTCAGTCCTTGTTATCCACAGTATTCCAGTTTGCAGAGCCTTCCATGAAGGCGTCTGCAATGGGTGGAGTAGGGAGAGTGAGGGGTCCACACCAGAGCACCAGGCCATTCGTGCATCAATAGCTCTCCCTCACACTACAGCAAGATCAGGAGGGCAGCCAGGGAGCAGGGGCGTGGTACTTACTGTGAGAAGTTCTCGTGAATTGAGTTAAGCAGGCTAATCTGGGGGTGAAAAAGAAACACGTAAGTAGGAGGCGGTAGGATTCCCACAGCACCTCAATCATTGCTGGGAAGTTTGCCTGGGGCTGGGCTAACAAAACTGAAAGGAGCCAAGACTGTCAAGCAGGTCAAAGTAATACACGAGAGGAGAAAAGAAAGCACATGTTCTTGCCTGCATAGTTTTCCTCCAGGAACCCATTTCTATGGACTTAAAGAAAACTTTCCTTAGGTGCATGACCGTGAGACTGTGGAAGGACAACCTTTGAACGGCCCAGTCACCAGCTGGGAGGACTCTGGTGGCAGGGCTCTTCAGACAAACCGCCAGCACAGGTCCTTTTTGTCTTCTCAAACATCACTTTTTATCTGAGGCTATTGGCCCAGGATGGGCCAGTGGGGCCGGCACAGAGAAGATACTGACCGTCTCCCACCTCCCACTCCTGCCCAACATGGCTAGACACTAAGTGGCTCTGAGAGCTTCTGATGAAACATATCCTTTAAAGCCCTGTTCCCGTGGAAACTGTCTCTGCCCTCATATCTGGACCCTCCATTTGTCCTTGTGAGGCATGCCGGGAAGGGCTCTGTCTGGGTCTTCCTGGTTGTGCACTGTTCAACCTGTTGGCTCATCCCTAAGCAGTCACTACACCTCGACTTGAGACTCACAATACACAACACAGGAATGACATCACCACACCTGGATTTTAGACTCAAAACACACAACACAGGAATGATATTCTTACCCTTAATACTTAGGAAGGAGTGTGGGTTTTTTATTTGTTTTTCCTCATGTGTTTTTGTGTTTGTCTGTGCACTTGCATGTGGAGCCAGAAGACAACCTCATCTGCCATTCCTATGGTGCAAGATGTCCTCCACCTTGCTTTCTAAGACAGGGTCTCTCACTGGCCTGAAGCTTATCAAGGAGGCCAGGATAGGGGTGGAGCAGTGATCCCCGGGATCTATCTGTCTCTGCCTCCCCAGTGCTGGGATTATAAGCACATTACCATGCCTGCTTTTTTCTTTTCTTTTCTTTTCTTTTCTTTTCTTTTCTTTTCTTTTCTTTTCTTTTCTTTTTAAAATGTGGGTTCTGGGGATTGAATGCAGGACCTCATATGAGCCTCTCATGAAGGTGTTTCTCTCATGATAGTACAGAACAGGTGAACATCAGCTTCACTACACTGCAGGGAACGCCCAGGCAGTCTCCCACTTTGCAGTGACAAACCTCTGCATTTGGCCCAGGAGTGTCTCTCTGCTTACACTAAACGACCGCATCACAGGCTCTAGGTCCATCCGAATCTTCCGGAGCTGTGTGCCGTCAGTGGCTCCTGTGTACACTTAAATGACCCCATCACAGTCTCTAGGTCCATCTGAATCTTCCGGAGCTGTGTGCCATCAGTGGCTCCTGTGTACACTTAAATGACCCCATCGCAGTCTCTAGGTCCATCCGAATCTTCCGGAGCTGTGTGCCGTCAGTGGCTCATCTGAGTTATTTTCTTTCCATACAGGCTCTCACCCAGGCCAGCACAATGGCTTAGTACAAAGGTGCCTGCTGCCAACCCTGAGGACCTGAGTTCTAGTCTGGAGCCCACATGGGGTAAGGAGAGAGCCGGCTCCTACAAGCTGTCCTCTGAACTACACATATGCACCCCTCTGCGATAAACTTTCAAATGTAATAAAAAGGAAACAAATAATCAACAAAGGCTCTTACCTCCTTTTCCAGATACACTTTTCTGTCATCCAGAGTGTTATACAAAGTGAAGAACTGCTTGGTTTCCTTGTGCACCGCGGAAACTGCCGAAGAGATCAGTATTCCAGTGTAAGAGCATCAGCCGAGCAAAGCATCCCAACCCGTGCAGAGTGTGCCAGGGCCTCATGCCCACTTAACCATCATGACAGCCTATGTCTGTGTGCACATGTTTGTACGTAGGTACACGTGAACACTGGGTACCTTCCTCAACCCCTCCTCACCTTATTTCTGAGACAAAACCCTTCACTGAACCTGGAGCTCACTCACTAAGCTAGGCAGGCTGCTCAGCAAGCTTCAGCGACCCACCTATCTTCACCTCCCCAGTGTATGTACTACCATGCTTGACTTTACGAGAAATGTGCGTGTGGATCCTTTGCCTGCATGCATGTATGTGCACAACATATGCTTGTGTCTGGTGCTCATGGAGTGTGTTGGAGCTCGCGAAACTGGAGTTATGGACATCTGTGAGCTGTCATGTGGGTGCTAGGAATTTAGCCTAGGTCCGCTGCAAAAACAATTACAGTGAACTACTCAGCCATCTCACCAGCCCTTTTCTTTTTCTTTTCTTTTCTTTCTTTCTTTCTTTCTTTCTTTCTTTCTTTCTTTCTTTCTTTCTTTCTTTTTTTTTTTTTAAAAAAAAAAACAACATACAGAGATCAAACTCAAGTGTTCATGCTTGTAAGGCAAGCACTTTATTAACTGGACCATCTCCCTAAGACCCTGAGGGTGGCTTTGAGCCTGACATGACATAGTCACTGGGTCAGCTGAGGTCCTGGATTATGAGGAGACTATGCTGGTCTAAAGCAACTCCAGTGAGACTCTGTGGAGCACCACTGACGACCACCTGGAGATGCTGGGGTGGGGATGCTTCATAAGAAACTGGGAAGAAGGGGCTCAGGTGACTGCACACAGCTAACTGCCAAGACAGCTGGCCAAAGCCAGCTCTTAAGACCATGAACCCATCTACAGAGTGGACAGTCAGACATCAGGACAGCTCCCAGGGCTGTCCAATAGGCCTGATGATGAGGCAAGGTCCCTTTCAAGGTGGCATTTGTGGACTGTGCTCTCCAATGCTGTACCACACTAAACTTGACAGAACCCCTGCCTCGCATCCCTACTGGGGCCCAACAGTCTGTGTTTGATCAAAACACCTACTCTGACGGTAGAGTTCAATAAATCGCTTCTGATACTGTATCAGCTCAGCTCGACTGGGCACTTCGTCAATCTTGCGATGCAAAATCGCTATTTCTCGATTTCTTCGTGCCTAAATGTAAAGATAGGGAGAGAAGACTTGGTGAAAGGATTCCTGTGTTCGCTTGTGCCCCCACATGCTGAGCTAGCCACAAAGACACACATTTGGCTAGTGGCTTAGGGTCCTCACGGGGGATTGTGACTGGCTTTCCCATTTTCTGACCTGTGCAGAGGCTGCTGACCAGAACCACAGAACCACAGGGCAACTGACCTGAGGACAGGTCATGACAGGAGAGCCCCAGATGACAGGTGCCACCTGCTGCCCCTCTAAGCTGCACTCTGAATCCCTCAGCCTACGTGGAGGCCCACAACTGACTTCTCAAATGCTGTCAGACAGACTGTATATCAGCTGCACAGGAGACAGCAGGGTGTTGTGTGGGGACCATGTCACAGAAGCAAGTCACTTAGTTATGTCTGACTCTCAGGACCTGGGCTGAGCACTGCTGTTCTCCTCAGCCTTTGTCCCTCCTCTCCATGGCCCACCAGCCCTCTGGCCTATTGTCTCAGCAGCAGGGACAGACTTCTAATTTATAAGGAAACATAGTCTCCAAGCAGGAAACCCACTCTTGTAACTTAAGTCCAGTCTATGAATCTCCGGACAAAAGGATGCAGACCAAGGGTATGCTCCTTGCAAGGGCTGGGGCTGATCTCTATTCTTCTCCCCAGGAATCTTAGGGTACAACCAATCAATCTTCAAAACTTTTAAAAATTACATTTCTTTTTATTTCTTTATTTAATAGACACATGCCATGGAATTCAGAGGACGATCTGTGGAAGTCCTGGTGATAGAGCTTAGGTTGTAAAGGATGGAACCTACCCCTAGGTGGAGACATGCCCTTGTCTCCTCCCTTAAGGGTTGGTCCAGTTAGGCAGGGCAGGGACCAGGCCAGGAGACTATCCCTATGACAAGGTCATTTTCCTTCCCAGCACTCCTGGTCCCTAACGTGGTCCCTGTGAACCACCATCAAGCCTGACTTCCTGAGTCCAGACTCAGAAGGGCGTAACTATTCTCTTATCTTTCCTCTGTCCTTTTCTTTCAAATGCTGGCAAGAGTCTTACCAAATTTTTAAAATGGCTAACTAACGCGACTGGGTTTTTGTTTTTCTAAAGCTCCTGTCCCTGCTGAGTGACTGACTTCCAGGCTCATCTTCATTCTCCTTCTCCCTAAGATACACAGTCTGCCTGCCTTGGGGTTTTCCTTGTAAACTCTAATTAATAAATTGCTCTTGAGCTTCTGTTTGAGTTTGTTTTTAATTCTTTTATTAATAAAACCAAGAACCCCAGGAGGAAACCCCCATGTCCCTAGCATTGTATGATGTCTCTATTGGACTCCCCAGGATTTCTAGCAACACATCTCTCCTGCTTTCTAACTTGTTAACAGGCAGAAGAAATGAACTCGCCCCCGCACCGCAACACAGCATACACGTCACCAGGCGTCTTTACTGTAGGTGCCATTTCATGCCTGCATGCGTGGCACCTTTTCATTGTGCCTTTATTTCTAGAATGTTCTGCATATATGTGGGTGCCTATGGATACACTGGCTATTCAACATTTAAATCTGCTCAAGCCCTTCACTTTAAAGAACTCTTTCCCTGAGCCACACCAGTCTCTTGCCTTTTTCTTTTTGTATCACTTGGCAGCCAGGCATGACTGAGTAGCCATGACGCCTAGGAGAGATGTAAAGGAGACGCCCGCTGTCCAGCTGTCTGCAAAGGGGGCAGGTTCCAGTGCTGAAGCTTTCATGAGTTGTCGCTTGTGTTAGGTAGTACTTTTTGGGAGTCATCCCTGATCCTTATAAGGCATCCCTCGCCATCACTTTTGTAAGTAACCCCAATGAAAACTCACTGCTTCACCAAGGGGACTTTGGTGGGATCATTACTTTGACCTGTCCTGGGTTCCCTAACTGCAGGAATTAGCAGCGTGTGCCTTGTGTCTTACTAGAAGTCTCACACGACTTCAGCGCCACTTCAGACGTTTTCTGGGGCCTGGGGCACAATGAATGGAGGAGTCTGAACTGTTTCCCATATATATGTTTTCTTTTTCTCTTTTATTGAAAATATATTCTTTTCTCACACAACAGACCCTGATTATAGTCTCCACTCCCTCTACTCCTCTCAGCTCCTCCCCACCTCCCCTTCCCTCTAGATCTACTCCATTTCTTTCTCTCATTAGAAAAGAACAGAATAACAACCAAACATGATAAAACAAAGTATAATAAGATGAAGCAAAATCCATCATACCAAAGATGGACATGGCAACCCAATACCCGGCCTTTGTGAGCAGCCCGTGCTTCCTCTCACACCCCCCTCTCTCGTTCTTGCTTTTCTTGCTCACTAGGGTTTGGTCTTGGGCCTTGCCCACACTTCCACAGCCTTAGTTAGCAACCACACACTGAGGAACGAGTTCTCCAGCCCAAACTCTTTGGAGCTGGAGCTGGAGCTGATGCAGAACATTCTTCCCACAATGCTACCTGGTGGATTACTGGCCCCTTCACTTTTTCATGTGTGCATGTATGGTGTACACATGTGGTGTATGAATGTTTCTGCTTGTGCTTGTGTACATATATGCACAGGCTCATAAAGACCTAAAGTCGATGGCAGGGATCACCCTGTCATTCTTGCACCATATTCATTGAGGCAGGGTGTCTCAATCACACCCAGAGCTCAGACAGGATGAGTCTTGCTAAGCAGCTTGCTCTGGGGATCTTCTGTCTCCCTCTGAAGTGTTATAGGTGGGCCGCTATGTTCAAATGGGATTTATGTGGCTTCCAGGAATGTAATCTCTGGTCTGCACATTTGTAAGGCGAGTACTTTTTAAACCGGGGAGCTGACTTCCAGAGAACCTCACTCCTCACCCAGCTGGGGGTTTACTGATACTTGTCTTCAGACTGCCGCCTGAATCTTTTCTCTTTTATGCCCATTCCCAATGAGTTTCATGTGTCTATACCTTTGGGTCTGACACCTGAGCATCAGCCTTGATCCCCCTTGCATCCAGGCATCACTAGATTGCATCAGGTAGAGCACCTCACCTTCCCCTGGCAGCTCCATTCACAGATCCTGCTGCCTCTACCCAGACCAGTCCTCAGCAGCTACTGACTTCCTTGAAGAAGTTCTCTTCAAGTTTGGCCTCAGCCTTGTCTTTAGGTGGCATTGCCCACATAAACAGCCTTGTACTTTGGCACATATGAGTAGATCTTGGTCCTCAAATAACCAGTTCCCAGAGGGCAGGTCATCTCAGCTCTTGTTATTAGGACCCAATGCATGGCTGAAAAAGTAGGAAGTAGCCAGTCAGCGTCTCCAAATAGCATCAGGGCACAGATTGTATTAATTCTATGTATCTTTAAATATTTGCACTTGGTCTTGCTGAAGGCTGAGAAGCCATCTTTAAATATTTGAAAGGTAGTCATGCATGGTGGTGCATATCTATAACCCCAGCACTTGGGAGATGGAGGCAGGATTATGGGAAGTTCAAGGCCAGCTGTGACTAGACGTGGACTCTAAGGCAGCCTGAGCTAGAAGATTCTCTCTCAAAAACTAAAAGAGAGAGAGAGAGAGAGAGAGAGAGAGAGAGAGAGAGAGAGAGAGGATAGGACTCTTGTATCAAGGACATATTCGACTACTCTGAATTTAACCAAACATCTCACAGAACACGATGGGAATAACCCCTTACCAGCCCTTGAAGCTCCCTGGCCATTCCTGCCAAAGTTTGGCATTTTCCTCCCAAAGGAAAGAAAAGTGTTCAAACCAACAGGGACACTAGGCCAAGGGTTGTCTGTGGGTTTGAATCCCCGTGAGTCAGGCACTGGCAATATAAAGGGCTTAGAACTACAGTGTCAGCTATGGCTAGGTTTGGAGCTGGCTCTCCAACCTCCCCACCCCATATGTCACATCGCTCTCTCAGATCCCCAGTTATTAAGTAGACCTGAACTTGAATCCTGCCTTGGGGACCTATGCGAGGCTTGCCCTTGGAGAAACAGCGTAGTTGAAGCATTTTTTTAAAAAAAGATCAATTTTTTTATCATTTTATATGTATGGGTGTTTTGCCTGCATGTGCATGTATGCCTATGTGCCATGTGAGTCCTCAGAACCGGAGTAGAAGACGGTTGTTAGCAGCCATGTGGGTACTGGGAATTGAACCAGAGTCATCTGAAAGAGCAGGCAGTACTGCAGAGCCATCTCTTCAGCGCCCCCTCCTTATTTTCCTTTTTACTGATGTGCAGTTGTGTGTGTTTGTGTGGCATGTGCGCACATGAGTGTGCATGTCAGATCCCCTGGAGTTGGAGCTGCAGGTGGTTATGAAGCAACTGATATGGGGTCCTCCACAAGAGCAGTGTTCTTACCTTCTTAAACATCTCTCTAGCCCCCTGACCCCATTTTCTTCATACAGTGTATGAGGCTAACCAAGCCTACTCTGTAAGGTGAAGTTCAACTCCAGAGAGCAATGCTGAAAGCAACAGCCCTGCGAAGCCGCCCGTGACGCTGTTGGCAACAGCTCAGACCAGGGTGCAGCGAGCAGAGCCTGGCTCTCGAGCTCTCACACACCTACGCCTCCCATCCAGCCACAGGACACCCCTGTCAGCCAGGCATATCTGTGCACGCTGGTGCTTGGACACCCACCTGCAGCAAGCGGATCTTGTACAGCTTCTCTTTCTCCATGTTGTACCGTCTGTCCAGGTCCTCCTAAGAGCGACAACAGGCCAGTTATCGAGATTGGAACTTCCATTCCCTGACGGAGCCTCAAGTTCCTTCTCTCAAATGGCCAGGTTTAGACCCTCCTACCCATGAGACACTTCCACACTGTCTCCTAACACCTTTTCTTCTGTCAGTATCCTGGCTGAATCCAATGTTCTTTTCAGAAGGAAAAAAGTACTTATTATTACCCGGAGGTGGGAGGGACATACATGTGGAGGTCAGAGGGCAATTCTGTGGACCTGTTTCTCCCCTTCCACCTTCTGTGGGTTCTGGGGATTGAACTCATGGCATCAGGCTTGCAAGGCAAGTACTGTACTCAGCAGCCCCTAAATCCAATGCTCTTAACTGAGTACCTCCTAACGACTCCTGCAGCCCCCGCCCTTAACCAGGAACACTGTTCAACAAAAGGGAGATCACACACTACCTTAAGAGTCTTTGTCCTACGCCTCTCTGGGTTTTCAGCTAACACTGGTTTTCTGATTATGTTTCTGCCTGGACCTGAGGTATCCAAAATGGTAGACCCACTAACCCTACATGTCTATTTGAACTTGCATCAATTAAAATAAGGAAAAACTCAGTCCCCCAGTTTCAAGAAGCATGCACTATGTGTAGGAAGACACTGATGTGAACAATTTCAACATTACACAGAGTTCTTCTGGGACAGAGCTAATGCACAGGTGTGGCTCTACACTGAACCCAGACAGGGAAAAGCAGCTGCGCAGTCTGTTGTCCCAGAGAAAACTACAGAAGGGGCACGCATGCACACATGAACACACATAGCACATGCAGTTTCTTGGACAGGGCTCAGCTAAAGGTGACATCTAACATATCACTGTAGGAGTCCCATGTCCAGTCTCTAACAGGCTATGAAGAAACACCCTAACAGTCCTGCTTGGAGGAGGACCCTGCTTCTGTCCTGTCTCTTCTGTCTGTCTCTTCTTTTCTCCTTACATGTGACAAGTATTGTTTTAACTCATAACAAGGTTCAGCAAACTACAACAGGTTATGGAAAGCCTACACCTTTGAACCATGCCTGACTAGAGTTGTACTGGAATACAGTCATGGACATTCATTTATAATACCTGTGACACAATGTCATCACTTAAAACATTCATGCTTGGGGGCTGGAGAGATGGCTCAGAGGTTAAGAGCACTGACTGCTCTTCCAGAGGTCCTGAGTTCAATTCCCAGCAACCACATGGTGGCTCACAACCATCTGTAATGAGATCTGGTGCCCTCTTCTGGCCTGCAAGCATACATGGAAGGAATGTTGTGTACATAATAAATAAATAAATCTTAAAAAAAAACATTCATGCTTGGAAAACGTGCAATCAAGTTACCAAAAAAATCCCCTTATACTATTGTAAGTAAGTTTAACTGTGTCGAACTGCACATCGGATACCCTGACACACAGTTTGGCAGCTGGAGCAGTGGCCTGCTACAAGGCAGTGGTCTGTCTAACGCAGTGGCCTGCTCTAACGCAGTGGCCTGCTCTAACGCAGTGGCCTGCTCTAACGCAGTGGCCTGCTCTAACGCAGTGGCCTGCTCTAACGCAGCGGCCTGCCCTAACGCAGCAGCACAGAAGGCACTTTCCCCTCAGCCCCACTCTCTCGCCCCTCAGCACTTATGTGGCTGATGCAGGCCTCTAATGAAAGGTCTAAAACAGTACCATGCCCACGGAGGGCAGTAGAGGAGGAAGTGGCTGTACAGACTAGACAGGAGGCCAGAAACGCTGTCGGGGGAGAGCAGAAAGGAGGCTGACCCATCTCTCAGGACAATGCTGGTCCACGGATGAGGAGATACTTACATTGTGAGTCATGGTGGAGGTCGCGGCACCCTGTGGCTCTCCACTGGAGACAGTCTGAAAGGATGAAAACAGGGTCAGCACCTCTGCTCAGTGAGGGGAGCAGAGAGACAGGAGCCGGGAGGGGCAACTATGGAGCTGAAATGACCTCGTTTTTCTGAAGAGTAGTTAGACTGTTCGAGAAACCCAGATTTTAGACTGTTCTCTGATGTTTGCCAGGTACACCCCAACAAGCTCCACTGTAGTGTGAGCTGGATGTCGGTGCCTTTCTCAATCACTCTCTACCTTATCTACTTAAGGAAAAACCATTATATTTATTTATTTATCACATGTATGTATATTCACATGTTTGTGTGTATATGTTGGTGGACAGCTTGCTGGTCTGCCTCTCCACTGTGTGGGACTGAGGGGTCAAACTGAGGTCATAAGCACTCTCACCTTGCCTTATTTTTTTGAGCCTCGGTCTCTTTACTGAACCTGGAACTTAACCAGTTTGGCTACCCGGCTGGTCAGTGAGCTTCAGGGGTCCTTCAGTATCCACTGCCCTGCCGCCTGGCTTCTACAAGGGTGTTGGAATCCAAACTTGGGTCTTTGTGCTTGTACAGCAAGCAGCTTATCCTGAGCCAGGTCCTCAGTCTCCTGTGGTTCATTTTCCATAGAAGAGTCCCTTCGATAGGACGTAATGAGATAAAAATGTGATCTCTGCCAATTCAGGGGCCAGAGGAACCGACAATGCCCAGAGGCTCAGTGCTGGGGAAGTACCCGAGGCCAGCCGGGGCTGCATTCCTGCCGCTGCTGTTCACTCCTCCTCTCCCTCAGAGGTGGGCACCTATGGCCGAAATGATACCACAGCTCTAAGGCCTGGTCTCTCTGGCTAGGGAAAGCACTTCTCCATGGTCTAGTGTCCACTGGAGAGTGCTGGGCATGGTGGTGGGGCAGCTGGAAGAGCATCAGTGCTGGGGGCTTGGGCGGGAGCTTTCCTTCCCTTTCCTTCCCGCTCTCCCTGCTACAACGGCAGGGCAAATTCAGTTAGTGGGCTCTAGGGCCATGACCAGCCCACATCTGGGGAGACGCAGGCTTTGAATGAAGTGTGGTAAGAAAAAACAAAATCCAAGAGATCCACAGGGTCTGGTGGCCCAGGCCATAACCCCAGCTACTCAGGGCAAAGTGGAGAAAATTTAAAGAGACAGGCTAAGTGGGAAATAGAGCTCAGACATTTCTTATGGAGGGAGGGATCAGAGTTTTGGACCTTTGGCTATGCCTTCCACACCTAGAAGGAATCACTTGAATAAGACCTAAGAAAATTGGTGGGAGTAATTGTAGCACTTAGGAGGCAAAGGAAGGCAGATCTCTGAGTTCAAGGCCTGTTCTACAGAGCAAGTCCCAGGACTGTTACAGAGAAACCCTGTCTCGAGAAAAACCAAACCAAATAAAAAAAAATATCAAAGAAAATTACAGGAGAAGTTGAGAAATACAACTTGGGTTGAGTGTGGTATGTGTTAAGGTATACTCGTGTGAACAGTGCGGTGTGTGTTAAGGTATACTCATGTGAACAGTGCGGTGTGTGTTAAGGTATACTCATGTGAACAGTGCAGTGTGTGTTAAGGTATACTCGTGTGTAGAGGCTGGAGGAAGGTGTCCAGTGTTCTGCTCTATTTCTCTGCCTTATTCTCTTGAGACAGAATTGTAGACTGGACCTGAAAGAAGGCCAGCAGTCAGAAAGCACCAGAAATCCCTGTCTCTGTTAACTCTGTTAAACTGGGAGCATAGTCCCAGTCCCTGGCATCCATCCCAGCCCCCTGGGCTGGGAGTTGTAGTGCTCTGGACTCCAAATCCCAGCATGCCATGTCTTGACTCCTCCCCGGGGGCGGGTCAGGACCACTCCACAGGTATTTAAGTGGGCTCCCAGAGAAGGTTCCAGGTTTACATATGCTCCCCCCTTTTCTGTCTCCCCTGCCATGCTGTTGGCCATCTGGGAGCACCGCTACTTAATAAAACATGGGCGTTTAATTTGGTTTAATCTGACCTAATTGGATTTCTTTGCGCCAGCCGTGTTAGGATTTTTTCCTAACACCATCCACTACAGTGATGGGGTTATCGACCCTTTCAGCCATGTGTGGCCTTTTTTAAAACAAGAAATATTTATTTTATTTTATGAGTCGTTTCACCTGCATCGTATGCTGTGCACCACCTAGATCATCAGACATCCAGAACTGGAGTTAGAGAAGGCTGAGTCGCCTGTGCATGCTGGGAAGGGAATGCGTGCCCCTGCAAGAGCAGCAAGTGCTCTCACTAACCCTGGGAACTGTACATTCAGAGACCCCGCTCAAGGAAGTCGGCAGTCCTTTGGGAACATGATTAATGGTTGGTGCTAGGAGCATGGCCTTCTACTCCAGGCTTGATGTAGCTGTTGCCATCTTTAAACAGAGTAGCAGGGCTGGGCAGCATAAGGCCCTCACATGATCAGACCTTTTAACAGCCCATCATGTAGAAAGAGAGAGGCTCTTGAGCCTCCCCTCCTCAAGCCGTGTGAGAGGTGAGCTACTGACTGAAGTGGGTCTCGGCAGCGCTGCAGGCCTTTGTGACACCCTAAGCCCCTCTAACTAATCCCCCAAAACATACTTTGTTCACCAAACTGGATTTAGACAGGAGTCCTCCTTCAGCCTGGCAGTGCCCTTTCTGGCTGGAGTGAATGGCTGTCTTTGTCTCCCCAGGAAGAATCATGGCACCGAACTGCTGCAATCGTCCCAGCCAGAAAGGGCTAACTGAAGCCTTTACCTTGTCGCCTGGTGCTCTCTCAGCTTTCAGGGTCTCAATTTCCTGCTGCAGACGAGCCATCTCCTCCTGGAAAAGCAAGGTGAACCTTTACAAAGCTCGGGGAAGCTATCGACTGGAGGTAACCGTTAACTTCGTCATACGTGGTTTGTTTTTACATTTGTGTTTGTGTGCACGTGTATGGACACATGCATGCATCTGGTGTGCATTTGCATGTGTGCACTCATGCTCATATGTGCACCATAGCATATGTGTAGAGATCAGAAGACAGCCTACGAGGTAATTTTTTTCCTTCCACAGAGAGCATCCCAGGGACTGAGCTCAGGCTGTCAGGCTTGGTGGCACTCACCATTATCTGCGGAGCCATCTTACCTGCCCAGTTTAAGTATTCAATGGAGACGGTTCATCTTTACTTTCACTAGTGTGTGCCAGGACAACAGTCAACAGGGAACCAGGCTCTCTGCTTCCTCTGGCAAGCTTGTCCCTTTCTGGGAAAGAGCTCTCCCAGGCTTGCAAGGGCAGAAAGCACCTTCCCCATAGAGTCACCTCCTCAGCCTGAGGCAGCTTACACTGCACTGCCCTGGCTAGCGGGCCCCAGAGCACAGGGGAGGGAAGCCAAGAGCCTCGGCAGAGCTCTGCCTGTCCACCAATGCCACACAGCACTTACCCGGCAGTGCGCCTTAAACTCCTGCTCCTGGCTTTTCAGATTCTCATTCATGGCTACGAGGGCTCGCAGGCTCTGGAGAATGCTGAGGAAGAAAGACCAAGGGCACAGGGCAGGCCATTACCATCTGCTTTAAAAAATCGAGGATAAAGTCACATCAAGACTACAAGGAGCTCCTTCTTAAGTTCCTTTGTTTTTCTCAAGGGTGTAATGGGAGAGCCACAAACGGTCATGATTTCCATTTCTGAGTATGCATTTGGACCCTCAAGCCCGGGAGGAGACAAAAAACTACCTAGGACAGGATTCTAGAATGTGAAGGTCAAATCTGGAAACATTAGTGAGCTTCAGTGGTACTCACCATTTATTCAGCTGTACTTAGGGTAAACTGTGTGTGTGTGCGCGCTCACGCACTTGTGCACATATATGTGTACATCTGTGTGCACATTCATGTGGAGGCCAGAGGACAGTCTCAAATGCTGTTCTTCGGGTGCTAGCCCCTGGTTTCTTTTAATTAAAGCTTATTATATTTATTTAGTACGTGTGAGGAGTGCGCTTGTGCAGCAGGTGTGGAGGTCAGAGAGCAACTGCAGGAGTCTCCTTCTACCACGTGGCTCCAGGAACTGAACTCAGGTCGTCAGGCTGCATAGTAAGAACTTTACCCCACAGAGGTAGCTCAGCAGCTTTTCCTCCTTGTGTTTTGAGACAGGGTCTCTCACTGGCCTGAGACTGGCCAGGTAGTTTAGACTGGCTGGCCAGGACCTGTTTCTACCTCCCTGGCTTGAGGATAACAAGCATGTACCACCATACTCAGCCTTTTCAGGTCAGATCTGGGACATCAAACTTTGGCTTGTATGCTTAAAACGCAAGCACTTTAGCCACTAAGCCCACAGTTCTGTTTCACTGTTCTTAAAACCAGAACACAACTGCTTAGATCACAAGGAGAGCTGAAGGGAAGGTGGGTGACTCAGTGCTGTCCAAGAGTCTCGGTGAGCATCAGGGTGACTGCTGGTCCCTTCTGGATGGTCATGTGACATTATCTGAATGGAAGTGGAGCTCCAGCCCATGACCTGTGGCTATGCTGTCCCTTCATCAGACAAATCAAACATCAGACCCTGCTGTCATTTTCATCAAAGGGCTAATAGCACCTGCCGAAACCCCTTACCTTGGGTCAGCTTTGGCTTCTAATTTCTCCAGGGCTGCCTGTTCTTTGTCTAGTTTCTCACCATGATTCTTTAGCTGCAAGAAAGAACAGAGGCATCATTGGCTACAGAGACTTAAAAGCAGAAAAGAGGGTGTGCTCCATGACTTAGCCCGTCTCTGGCTCACTTGGGATAGATGGCTGAACCACTGGCTTTGGTTGTGCACTGAGAAAAAGAGATGAGCCAGACAGATGGGATGGAGGGGGAGATGCAGGGGCGAGGTCAGAACCATAATCTGCTAAAGGTTGCACTGGCTGTGGAAATACTGAGGAAGACTTCACAGTGCAGCAGGAGGAGGTGGGAAAGCCCAAGGTGGTGCAGAGAGCAGTTAGGAATGTGGGCGGGGATAAAAAGTGACAGAGAGAACGAGAGAGAGAGAGAGAGAGAGAGAGAGAGAGAGAGAGAGAGAGAGAGAGGAAGGAAGGGACGTAACACCAGCTCACTAAAAAGATAGACTACTGGTATTTTTTCTAAGTATATCTTTCACAATGATCTAGAAAATAAGGTCTAAAGTCATGAACACAGTGAACTCCCAAGCACCTAAAGAAATATGTACACGTGGACTGACGACACGGCTCACGAGCGGCACTTGCTGCCACTCCTCAACATCCGAGTTCAGTTCGTGGACTCCGCATGGTAGAAGAGAATCAACTTCCGCAAGTTGTCCTCTGACCTCCACACATGCACTGTGGCACGCTTACCAGACTGAACCATGTGAACATGTGACATATTCAAAACAAAACAAGTTTCAAAAGTTCCTAGCTGAAAATGGCAGTACAGCCAGGTGTCACATCAAAGCCTTCTCATCTCAAGTCTCGAAATAATCCAGGCTATGATGCTGCAACACGTAAGTAGGCTAACTCCTGGGACAAGACAGAGGGTTGGCAGATGGGAACAGACAGAAGACGGCTATGGAGAACTAACTAGCATGGGTGAGAAGAATGGCTTTCAGGGCTGAGGCCTGGATCAGAGCAAAGCAATGATGCCTGACTCGGTTACACAGGAGAGCATCTGAGGGCCCCAGATGGCTGGCAAGAGCAAAGAGAATGGGAAGCTTCCCAGCTCTGAGTGATTCCCAGCCATGAGCTGATTTACCACAGGGAAGGCAGCACCCGTCCAGAGAAACTGTGGAAGCGAGCTGCTGTGAGTTCATACTGTCAACTTAACAGGATCTAGAGCCACCCATGAAACAGGCTCTGGGCACACCCGTGACAGATCAGCCAGGGCAGTCCAGCCTCTGGGAAAGTCCACCCTACAAGTGGGAGGCGCCACCTCCTGGGCTGGTGCCTAAACTGCAGAAATCCTTGAGCTGAGCGCTGGTATTCATCTGTCTGCTTCCTGGCTGTGTGCGCTGGGGCCAGCAGCTTCAAGTTCCTGCTGCATTGCCTTCTCCACCATGAAAGGCTGCATACTTCAGCTGCGAGCCAGACTAAAGCCTTCCCTCCTTAAGCTACTTCTTGTCATGGGTTCTGTCACAGTAACAAGCCAAGTAGCTGTAGCATGTACATAGTATTAGTGAGAGGAAATTTTAAACTAGATGAATGTATAACCAAGAGTCCTCAAACACCCGAAGACAGAAAAACATGGTGGATCAACTTACAAGTTTTCAGTCAACCCCTGACTGAAAAACAACTATAAAGAAATATACACTTTATACCAGGGACCTAGGAAGACAGTATTCATCTAAAATGGAACTGAGCTTCCATTTAGGCAACTGGACTGTGAACCAGAGAGATTACAGCTGGTAGCCCATGCCACTGATGCTGCAGCCAGTTAGGTTCTGGCTTTCCTGGGGTGGCTGTGTGGTTGTCTCCAAGGGTGTCATTGCTGTCACCACCTGTCTGCCACCTTCCACTTCACTGACGTGGCAAAAGCAGTCTGAATTCATCACATTAGTCTACCTGGAAGGGCAGGCTTTGTAAAAATGCAGATTAGGTCTGCATCAAGAGAGCGCCTGGCATGGTCATCTGTCCAGTGCTGCCGGGGGAACGCTGCTCTCATCAGCTGCTGTGGCAGGAAGACAGCCTCAGAGTCTGGTCCACAGTAGGGGAGCAGAGGTTCATGGTGGTGCTTGACCCCACACCATCAGTTTATCCACACCGCTGTGATCTGACCCGAAAGAGGAGGCTGTGGGCCCTGAGGTCACAGTAAGGGAGGAGGGGACAGATGCTCACCTCTGTCAGTGTCTTCTTCATGTCACTGTACTTGGCCTGGAGGCTGCTGTGATTTGTTTGCAGCTGTGAGAGAGAGAAAGGACATTTGCTTGAATGGAATCCCTTTCTCGGTCCAGACAGTGATGGGATCCTCCTTTTACAATGAGGAGGTAAAGACCAGAAAGACTGAAACATTTGAACTGCAGGACTTTCATTTCATTTTTTTTTTAAACAGTTCTATACTTACTTATTTTGGTGCTAGGGAGTTAACCTAGGGTTCCATGTGTAATAACATGGAGTCTTCCACTGAGTTCCACCCATAGACCAATGGGGGGGCACCTCCCCATTCCTAGGATTATATACTGAATGCCAGGCTTTCCAAATGGGTCTTGGGGAGTTGAACTTGGGGTGTCATGCTTGCACCACACCCTTTACCAACTGAGCCGTGTCCCCAGCAGGCATGCAGACTTTTATCGTCCAAAGACGGTCCCCAAGTCACTCTCTGCCTTCTTTATGGTCTGCCTTCCTGGGAGAACATATGAAGGTTTTCCAAGACAGTCCCACCTGTCACCAGGACCTATAAATGACCAATAGCTCTCTTAAAAAGAGCATTTGGGGCTGGTGGGACAACTCAGGCGGTAGGCTGCTGGCTACCAAGTCTGATGACCCAAGTTTAGTCCTCAGGACCCATTTGGTAGATGGGAGAATTGAAGTCAGCCAACTGTCTACTGACTTCCATGACAAATGTGCACCACCCTCAGAAATAAACGGGAAACAGTGGCATGTTTCTCCCACTCCTGCCATCGCCAGCTCACCTACTGCACCTTCTTTCGAAGGTCTGGGACTCCCTGAGTCTGCTGCCATGTCCCACATCATACACACCAACAGGCAATGGCATGCCACGACCCCGCCGCAGTCCTCCGTGGCTTCCACAGTCCTAACATGGACCTGGAAGGTGCTCCGTTATTGGTCTGCCTACCACACACCTCACTCAAGACTCCTCAACCATCAGACAGGAAGGAGCTGGCCAACTCTTCCTCCCTTCATCTTTGCTGATGTTGCTTCCTAAGCCTCCACCTGGTTCCTCAACATCTCTACGCAGACCTCCCATTCAGTCAACGCCCATTCACCTTCCCAGACTCAGTCAGCTCTGTCAGTTACCCAGCTCCCCAGACTTCCCCACTCAAGCCCTCATCACAACTGTAACATGGTGAGTGTGATGCAAGCTTCATTTACTGCAGGTCTCCATTGCACCTTAGGGTCCTTGCGGGCAGGGCCCTCACTTGTTCTTCATCATCCTTATAGCTTAACTCATCACTTAGCACACACAGCACTCTGCATTTGTGAAGAAACACCACTCTGGCCCTGAACATTTTTAGCATTACGCACACCCACACATGCATGCATTCTGGTACTGTATATTTACACACTTACACAAACACACACACATGCATTCTGGTTCTACATATTTACACACTTACACAAACAAGCACGCACATGCATACGTGTGCAGTGTACATACGCATGCATGGTTCTGCAAGCATGCAGGCTTCTGCAAAGGTCAGAAGAGGAGGTCAGACCCCCTGAATCTGTAGTTACAGCCAGCTGTGAGCTGCAAATGTGGGTGCTGGGAACCAGAACTCATGTCCTCTGCAAGAGAAACGAGAGCTCTTGATAGCTCCCATCTCTCCTGCCTTGCCCTGCATTTCCTGTGACAGGGGTTGACAAACTTTGCCTAGAAGGGACCAGGCAGTACACAGTTTAGGCTTTGTGTGTTGTTTGGTCTCCATCACAACTACTCAACTCTGTTACAGTAGCTTGAAAGCAGTCATAGAAAACCAGGAGAGTATATGAGTGTTTAGCTGTTCCAGTGAAACTTAACTCATGGGGATGGGGAGAGGGCTAGTGGACAAAGTGCCTGCCATGAAAGCCTGAAGACAGAAGACTTGGTCCCCAGGATCAATGTGAAAAGCTAGGTAAGCGTGGCAACTTGCCTCTAATTCCAGTGCTTAGGAGGCAGAGACAAGGGATATCCCTGGCAATTTAGCTAGCTAGGCAAGCCAAGCTGGTTCAGAGAGACCTTGCCTTACTAAATTAAGTGGACAGTGATTAAGAAAGGAACCCAACAACAGTCTCTAGCTCCTGCATGCCCATCCGGCACAGGTATGCACACTAAGTACCCCCACATACTCGCAAACACCCACACATGTACACATCATCCATATAACTTTACTTACAAAAATGCATGCAGCTAGACAGCACTGTAGGCTGTAGTGTGCCTGAGCCAGTGCCCCTTTGACCAGTCTACCACAAGGCTCTTCATTCACCTTCCGATTTTTCCCCTTGGAAGAAGTTTCAAGCACTCGAGTAGAATTTTAAAAACACTCACCTCTTCTAGATGTTTGGTCTTCTGCAGAATTTGTTTATTCAAGGAAATGACTTTCCGCTGATGCAGTTGGGAGGTTCCTAACTTTTCTGGACTTTCTTCAGCAGACAGCTCAGACTGCTGTGGGAAAACCCAAGGCAGATAATGAACTCAGCTCCATTCAGATTGTCCAGCTGTACTCAGTATAAGTAAGGCAGTTCTGGGCAGCCAGTCTCACCCAGCCAGGGTATCTACTATGTCCTGCCCAGAACCAAAATCCAGACAGGAAAAGTCTGACGTCATCAAAGTCTGCTTGGGAGCAGGGGAGAACATGGGTATAGGCTGCCCAGCTGTGATTATGATGAAATCGTTGAGCCAACAGCACCTGTGTTGGGGGGTCTTAGCAGGGAGGGGGATATAGGCGGTCTTAGTGGTTTCTTCATGAGACCATCTGGAAATATCAAGAGTTACAAACTGGAGACGGCTAAGTGGGTAAAAGCATTTGCCACCACACCTGATGAGTTGAGTGCAGTGGCAAATGTGTAAACACATACAATAAATAAATCATGTAATAAAAATGAAGAAAGCTATACACCGATTCACTTTCATTAAAATTTTAAAAATACACAGTTGCAAAGTCTAGTCATTTCCGAGCATGTAGAATGATAAGCAGCTGGTCCGCCTGCCCTCCCCCTCCACAGACCACTCTCAACTATTTCCTACTTCTGTTCTTCTGACTTAAGAGAAGCACAAGAAGGAGAAAGTTGCCAAGAGAGGCCATGGAGTAAACCTCTGGAAATGGACAAGTGAGGAGGGGACAGAGAAGGCCAAGCAGACACAGGGACTGTAAGAACTGGAGGCAGGTAAAGGAGAGATTTCTGGGTAGTGTTACAGGGTGAGTGACTGACATTTTCTAGAAGGGTTAATGACGATTAACCTCATGTGCAAACCTATCGCGTAACTTACTGTCCCTGCATGTGTCATCAGTGCTCATGGGTCTGGAAGTCTGGGGTGCAGCACTGGCACAGAGACTGCCAAGAGTGGAGGAGAACCCACACAGGCGTAAATACTATGCATCTTGGCTAGGGCTTTCCCTGAATTATTTCCACCACTGACAGAAAAACCATGAAGGTTTTCTGTGGGTTTGTTTTGCTGTTTAATGCTAGAACTTGGGAACAGTGGGTTGGGTATGGGTGCAGTGAAGAGCCAGGGGTAACATTCTGTATACTGTGGGCTGAGAGTCCAGAAGGAAACAGAAGACCCTGGGGCTGGAGAGACAGTATTCCTTCACTGGTATTAAAGCTTACTTTCCAGGAATTCTGGTGTATGTTGAAGACCAGCTGACATCCAGCCCAATGGACTGAACTACGTTGGATTCTTGGGCTTTCCACTGGAAGATAGCCATTGTTGGACTAGCCAGACCCCAGCCTGTAAGTCACTCTAGTGAATGTATATAAAGCTTCCCAGCTGGACAGTTTCCTGAAGCACATGACTCAATGGTTAGTAAGGTGGATCTGCGCATACATGTATTTGTTATTGCATTTACACTAGAGAAATGTATCAGCATGGATCTGGTCCTCAGAACCCTGAATTAATTAATATGAATTAATACTTTATAAATGAAAATTAAAGAAACTTCCAGGGCCATAGAGATCACACACACACACACACACACACACACACACACACACACACACAGAGTTCCTCTAGAGAACCTCAACTAATCCACTTGGTAATCTACTCAGTGACTAGAATGCAACAACTGACCCACTGTTTGAGAAAGAACATGGAGGGAGCCCACCAGGATGTCAAGGAAGAAAGAAAAAGTTCTCTCTCCAATCCACTCTCTCACTGAAAATCACATAAACAAAGAGAAAATGCATGCATACAGGAAGAACCCCGAAGTCTTTTTAAAACCCTGCTATATCTTTACTAGAATATGCTCCAAGAAACAGGGGCTTTCAATATCTGTTAGTGCTAAGTAAAAATACATCTGTGGACTCTCTCTTTCTCATGTGTTCATGTTTGTGTGGATATATGCACCTGTGCATGAGGGTCACACACATGTGTGTGAGTGTATGTATATGGAAGCCAGGGGCTCGCTTTGGGAGTCTTCAATTATTTCCCACCTTCTCTTTGGAGACAGGGTTTCTCACTGAACCCAGGGGTTCCAAGTCTCGGCTAGCTGACTCAGCTAGTCTTGGGTAGCCCCAGAGACCTTCCAGTCTCCTCTTCCCATGAGGGGATTATGGATGTGTGTAGCTGCATCTCACTTTTTAAATGGATGGTGGGGATCTGAACTCAGGTCCTCACGCTTGTATGGTAAGCACCTTACCCACTGAGCCATCTGTCTAGCCCCTGCAGTTTCTGACATTTCTTATAAAGTATTAATTCATATTAATTAACTCTGAGGACCGGCTCCATGTTGACACAGTTCTCTAGTCCATGCGCAGTGACAAATACACAAATGTGCAGGTCTACCATACCAGCCTGTGAGTCTAGACAGGTGCTTCAGAAAGCTGTTTGTCCAGCTGGGAAGCTCTCAAAGGAAGCACTTTATTCTGGAGCTATAGTGAAGATAGGTCTCAAGAAGCCAATGGAAGTCTGATTGCTTTTCAAACATACTTTTCATTACACAATCTAAAGCTTTTATTTCCTTCAAATTATCTTCCTAACAGCCAGGAACACCCAGACTGAAGGCAGAAACAGGTCTCTGGGTCAGCGCAGCCCATCTGACAGTGGCCAAGGCACAGTTACAGCGTGAGAGCAGGTGACGAGGACAAAGTTGGTCGGATTCAGAAGACAAGACGGGGCTTCACACCCAACCCTCCATGGGAAAAAGTTTAAGCCACAGGCATCTTAACAGTCTATTTACAAAATACAGCATCTGCCAAAAAGGCCAGCCACTGACAAACACACCCCTGTGCCACCGAGGAGCAAGGGCTGATGTGTGGATCTCATTTTGTTCAACAACTGCAGATTAAGAACGTGCCGGTAAAACCACAGCGTGGATTAGGACAGTCTGCTGCAGATCTCATGTTTTCTAATGTGACAGATAGAAACGACAGCCATTCTTAGGGGAGATGGCTTTAAATGTCACTTGATGGCATTAGCCTAGTTCAAAATGTTAAATACCCAAGAGAAATAAGAAATGATTACTTTACCTAAAACGCTATCCTTTCAGAATTGAATGAGCCCCAAAGGTTATCTATGTATTAACCTTCATCTCCTTTTTCAGGGCTGGAGATCAAACCCAGGACACTGCACATGCTTGGGAGCGCTCTACCCCAGAGCTACATCCCCAGCTCTAACTTGCTTCTGGTTCAGGAAGTATTAGTGCCTTCTTCCTACCACAATAGAGACTCTAAGATGAGAAAGGGGGCCCCTGCACACCACCTTTCATGGGGATCTCAGTTCTCCATAGTGATCTCAGGAACTTCGGTATCCGGCATCTTGTAAGCCTCCAGTTAAATCAAGCACACAGATATCAAAGTATAGCTCAGTTCCCTCCTGGCACAAAACTATGAGTGAGGAAGAACACTATGGAATTCTGGGAGGCCAAAATGTAAGTGAATATGGCAATCTAGGAGGCACATGCCTTCACTGAAGGTGGCTTACTTCTCTGGGGTATTTTTCCAAAACCTTGTAATGTCTAGCTTTGATTTCACAGTCGGTTAACAAAGGCCCACGTTAGTCTTGGATTAGTGTAAGAGGGAAATGTATGCAATGAAATGTTGTAAAGACAGACAATCAGCTTCCTGGAGTTCTGCCATCTACATCCACAATGCTCCCTGCACGCCTACAAAACTGCAAGCCAGGAGCCGAGTGTGGTGGTGCACACCTGCAACCCCAGCACTCAGGAGATGGAGGCAGGAAGATCAAGAGTTCAAAATCATCCTCAGAAACAGTGAGTTGATGCCATCCTATGCTCCACGAGACCCTGTCTCAAACAAAACCAGAGTTTTCCACTAGTTAGGACCCTACAAAGGACCAGTGCAGAGGTGCCACCCAGTGCCTAAGAAGCAAAACTAGATTCTCCCTGGAAGAACAGAGCTGCAAACCTCAGCTTCCAAGAATTTCCCAAGGAAACGTTCAGAGAAATTCGGTGATTCTGCAGTTAAAACTCACAAGCAGGCTGGAGAGAAGGCTGAGTGGGTAAGGGTACCCGTCACCAAGCCTGACAACGTGACTTCAATTCCCGGGACCCACACAGCACAAGGAGAGAAAAGACTGCTGCAAGTTGTCCTATTGAGCTCCATGTGAGTGCACACATCCACGTGTGTTCACCATGGCATGTACAACCAACCCTAACATGTACATTTAATTTTAAAACTCCTTACAAGCACTCTGAGAAGTCAGAGCACTATGACCCTAAGCCAGCAGGAACAGACAAGAAAACCAGGTCTGCTAACACTGAAACACACACACACACACACACACACACACACACACACACACACACGACAGTTCAACTTATGCAGGAGCACCTACAATTCTTCTCTACCAGGATGTCAGGATGTCAGTGTCTCTCACTGCCTTGCCTGCTGTCCTCTGGGCACACAACAGTGTGGAAGTGATCTTCTGAGGTGTTCCCATGGAATGTGACCATCCACTCTCCCTGGTGGTCTCTCTGCTTCTTCTTAACATTGTGTGTGCGTGCATGCATGCATGCGTGCACATGAGTGGACATGTATGCCTGTGTGTGGAGGCCACAGATGAACTCCGAGTGTCATTCAGAAGCTCCTCACTGTTTTCTCTTTGAATCAGGGTCTCTCACTGGAACCTGGAGTCACTGATCAGTGTAAGCTGTTTGTCTGGCCAGGGAGCCCCGGGGATCCCCCCAGTTCTTCCTCTCCAGGGTTGAGATTACAAATGTGCCCAACACACCCATCTTTTATGCGGACTCGGGTCCTTACACTTGTGTGACTGAGCCACCTCCAGAGGCCCCGAGTTGCCTTTAGAACTAACTGTCTGAGAAGCTCTAATACATAACCCAGAAACAGTGGCCAAGTCACAGAACTAGAGCAGTTAAATAACACGAAGACAGGAGACACAAGTGGGTAGATAAAGCATTAAGGTTTTCCTTCTGGCTCCATCCTATCAGATTTAGCATACAGATGTCCTGAGGGCCTCTGGGGGACAGGCACCATGTGCTAATTTCACAACAGCAGCCTGCTCCTGTGGGAAATCACCATCCCCAGTGCACTGCCAACCACAGAACACAACAAATGGCCTGAAGAGAAAATAAATGGCCTGAGCCTGTCAAGCAGAGATGAATAGCTCAGGATTTGATACAAAGATAGGGGAGAGATGGTACGACTGAAACAGTCTGTGGCCAGGCTCCCAGGCAAGGCCTTGAGAAAGAAAATGGCAAGCACAGGCAAAGGGCCACGACAAGTGCTGAGTCTCCAGGACCCCAGGAGGGAGCCAGGCAACACAAGGCTCTCTCTTGCATGCTCCAGCAGCTGGGTTGCCGTCACTCACACTCTGGAGAGGCGAGTGAATGACAGAACTCCAAAGGCATTCTTTTCCAGCCAGTTCACACTGCCATGTGACCTGGGCAAAGTACTAAACGTGGATGACTGCTGAGTGCTCAGCCTGACACGGGACATGGACATCACTCCCTCTGAGAGCACAGGAGGCAGGTGTACAGGAAGAGAAAGATGGCAGGGAGTTCCGTGAGACTGTCTCCCACTACACTGACCAACTCAGAAGGCTGTGGCTACCGGCACAAGATCCTCATAAGATCAAGCCGGTCAAGTCTCCATCCTGGGGAGGGGAGGAGTTCACCTGGAGACCCAGGGAGCCACTGGCAGTTGATGGCTGCTGAGGGAGGGAGGGCCACTTTCCTCACTTGTGCAGCCCCTGGAAAGCTCTGCCCACGCTCCTCATCTGTGTGTGCCCAGGCAGCCTTAGTTACACTCAGCAGGAGGGAACACACTTACACAACAGCAAAACACAAAACAAAATAGGAGGGCTTGTTGGGAAGAAGGGTTCAGTGGGAGAGGGCTGTGAACTAGCAAGATACATTATATACATGTATGGTTTTGTCAAAAATGCAAGTATAATGCATTTCATTAATATCTAATATAAAAATCACTGTGTGTATGTATATGTGACTCGCATCTGCAAACCTGTGCTTAGCTACTGTAGCAATGGGGAAGGATTTTTCCTTTGTATTTTTGCATATGTACCCTTGGACCAACCCCAGGTCTAATCATCTGCTGAGGCAAGAGTGCTCTCAAGACACAGGTGAGTTTCTGACCAGCTGCCAGAACACAGTCCTCAGAATCAAAAGGTCAGGAGTAGCGGGCCTTCCAAGACCCATTAGGGAAAGAACACCTTCTATAAATACACCTTTTGAGGACCTAGAAACACATTTCCACACAGCAATGAGATGACGATGGGGACAGCTGGGATGCTGTGCATGTGTGCACATGGATGGAGATCAGAAGACGACTTCTGGGAGCCAGTTTTTTCCTTCCACCATGATTATCAGACTTGGTGGCATGTGCGTTTATTGGATAAGCCATCTCTCTGGCACTGAGATGGTTTATTTTAAAGATAGCTACATGAGAATGTTATAAAATGTTCTGTTGTGACAGAAAAAACCATTAGCTACCCCTTCTATAACTTTCGTGGGCCAAAAAGATGACGCAGTGGTAAAACACCCTTGCCACACAAACCCAATGAGCTGTGTTCGATCCCCATGTTAATGAGCTCAGTTAAAAGTGGAGAAAGAAAACCAACTCCACAAAGTTGTCCTCTGGCTTTACATGTAGAACATGTACACGTGTCCCCCATCTCTCTCTCATACACACACATTAATAATAGTAATAATAATAATGATGATGATGATGATAATAATAAAAGTTAAAAAAAAGTAAGAAACTTCAGTGCCCAGCAGCCTTGTTGAGATGCTGTGTGAGCCCAGGCTGTACCGGGTTCCCTTACTTCTGTGGTCCATTCCCAGCATACTCACCCCTTCCCAAAACAGCACCCAAGGCAGCTGGAGGCATGGTGAGCGCACCTGAGGAAGCATGTGTCACTGTAGACTCGGGAGTGAGACCCATGGATGGCACACAGGGTTCCACCTCCCCCAGTGACCTTCCATCTGGCTAAGGAGACAGGTTTTAAAACAATGGCTTCCAATCTGTAGGTCACCACCCCTTTGGCAAAATTTTATTTCTAAAAATAGTTACATTATGATTCAGAACAGTAGCAAAATTACAGTTATGAAGAAGCAATGAAAATAATTTTATGACTGGGATCACCACAACATGAGGAACTCTATTAAAGGTCACAACATTGGGAAGCCAAGAACCACTGCTCTTAAGGCAGATGGTCTGACATTTGAACCAGGAATGTTCTAGAGTTGCACAGGAACGCAGAAATAACGAAGCCTCCATAACCTACACTTTCTTCATCTGAAAAAGGGATCTAATGTACACTTCTTTAATATTCAGTGACTTGTTCAGATAAACAATGGAGTGTAGTCCATGCGCACATCCACAGACAGGACTAAGTAAGTACGGTGATGGAGGAGGGCCGTAAGCAAGAAGACAGTTTGGAAGAATCAAAATCTTGGGCCAATGAGATGTTCACTGGGTAAAGGCACTTGTCACCATGTCTGACATGAGGGGAGGAGAGATCCAAGTCTGGAACGTTGCCTTTGGTCTCCACAAGTGGAGATGCACCCCCGCCCCTCAAGCACACACAAGTACACAAATTAATAAAGTGTAAAAGAGAAAGAATTAAATAATCTTTTAGAGTTAAAACAAATGTTGGGCTCGGGGGATGGTTCAGCACTCCTACAGGTGGAAATAGCAAAATTTTCTGGAAGCAAAGGGATCAGCAAGTCTGTATAGCCCGGCACAGAGCGAAACAAGAGAAACTTCCTTCAAACAATGTAGAATGTGAATGCCAACTTGTGAGGTTGCCATTTGATCTCCACATGCTGTGCACCTATGTGCACACATCATTTACACACACATAAAAGGAAAGTTGTGAGCTAACAGGTTACAAACTACCTACCAAAGAGGGCATCAGACTGTGTTTCCAGAGGATAGATCTACCTACACAGTCAGACCTACAGAGCCCTCGAGGACCCCATCAGGATCCTACAGAGATATCAGTTAAGGCTGACTTAGTTGGCAAGCACAGGGGGTCAAGAAGGTGGGTGGTGGGTGAGGAGCAGCATTAGGGCTGCCCCTTCCTGCACTTCCAAGGACCTTGCGCATGCCCTGGCTTGGCTTCTTTATTTCTTTCTTGACTTCTATACTGGCTTTTGCGGTTAGTGGGCTCAGAGTAGTTTTGGACAGTCAAACTGCTACGCTGTCTGCAAACCACAGTAAGATTCCTCTGTTAAAACAGAGATGGACGTACTGCAAAAGTTAGACATCGACACTAAAAGGCTCTGGGCGGCCTTCTGGAACATTCAGAGTGTTGGGTGATGACATAGGGAGATAAGGCTACCACGACTAGAGCCTTTAGAAAAGACGAAAGCAGAGTACAGCTTAAGTGTGTCACAGTGAAACAAAGATATTTGACAAACAGTATGAAGGTAAGTGAATAAAAATGGAAAACCAGGACAGACCGATACACCAGAATCACTGAAATCAATGAGGTATTAATTCCAATAAGAGATTAGTTGATCAGCACTAGGGAGACAGAGGCAGCAGGCAGATCTCTGTGAGTTTGAGGCCAGCCTGGTCTACAAGAGTTAGTTCAAGGACAGGTCCCAAAGCTACAGAGAAACCCTGTCTTGAAACCTCCCCACCACTGAGAGAGAGAGAGAGAGAGAGAGAGAGAGAGAGAGAGAGAGAGAGAGAGAGA